ACCGGCGCCCCGCTGGAGATGGGGAAAGGACTGTAGAGCAGGCGGAGATAGTTTTGATACGGTTAAGGGCAGGAGAGGAACCTCCTGCCCGTTTTCAGCCTCCACGGATTAGCTGTACCAGCTCCGGTGAGGACTCCCAATTTATTAATTGGTGAAGGATCTCGACAGATAGTTAAGATTCGTTCTGATACGTTCTCGATTCGTCGCTCTCTGTCTCTCGCAATATTCGCCGGACTCTTACTCCGACCCTCTCTACCTCAAACCTAGCAGCCTGAGCGGTCGTGAATTTCCGTAGTCGTCCGCTCCCTAGCCGAGTGCATTCCTAACGTCCTAACCGTACCTAGAGCATCACCAAAAATCGACTATATAAGCAGCCAAAATCATGGCACTGACGCTCAGAAAATCATTCAGTTTCACACGTAAAAGATCGGACTGCACGTTGTCACTCGTGGCTCTAACCATTAGAGTATTAGATTCAATGTAATATTCGCAATCTGGCCTAGGTACGGATTCGTTATTACATACCCTAGGGAACAAGCAGGATCGGTTACCGGGCAAAATTGAGCTGCATAGACTAGTCTTTCCAAGTAACGCATATACTAGACAATTTTCTGTTCCACCAAATTTCTTTTGCCTTAACCTCACACACACAGTCAGGTTTTGTAATCCGATTTTCACACAATTTTTTATCCCAGTATTTCTCGTAATCGAAACACTGTACACAACAATTAATTGAAAACCTCTAAATTGTTTGTAACAATATATCGCAAATTCACATTTTACTCGCGTTTTAAATATCTATTACCCATCCTCAAACATTTCAGAGAATATCTATCCACGTTGGAATAGCAAGGCGTGTTTCAACACCTTAAACGAGCAGCGAACCCACCATTGAGTGCATTCTTACCGCTCGTAATTCACTGAAATATTATTCACGTTACCTCCGGTTGTTTCTTTTCTTTTGGTTACTTCTAAATTTTTGTTATCAAATTTAAAGGCCTCGCTAGCCACTACGGCCTACGTAACAATACCATATGAACATCACTTTCATGATATTGGCGGACTTTTTTCAATATCCTTCGAATCTTTTGCTGCACTCCATTTCAAGGTAAAACGTACGTACCTATAGACGTACAAACTTATACAAGATGATAAAATGTTTTGAGAACTGTCCATAGAAATTGGTCTGTCCATAGATTGGGTAATCTTTGATTTTTACAACTTTTCAGTGTTGGTATTATACTACATACGCATATGTATGTACACTCATATTCTAATACACGTTTGATATGTCATTTTGAATAGCATATCAAAAAAATGGTACATATTTAGTTTACGCAAAAATTGTCAACAACACGTAGGAACAACAGAAAATCGTTCGTGGGCGCATATATTTTTTGTCAATGTTTCCTTAAATTTTTATTTCCATTTGTGTGATGAAACTTGGTGTACAATTCGTGTAGCTACATCCCCTTCGAGGTCATTAAAATTCTGTCCATACGAAATATTCTATATAAGAATGTGTGGAAACGAGGATATGTATGTGTGCGTGAAAGGAAATTATACTCTACAGCAACTTGTTTTTCAAAAACTTTGCAATATGCTTTTCAATCTTTCGGAAAGATTTGCCGAATTCCCAAAATATGGAAAAGTAGATATTGCAAAGAATTTTTTCGCGATTGTATACGAAAGGAAACTGGTATAGATACATGGGTTCACATATGTACATGTATATAGGATGGTTCGATTTATATTTAGCAGAATATCGTGAAGCAACCTAGTCTCTTTTAATATTTCAATAATGTGGGCTGATCTATTGACGTACACAGGGATCTCGATTAACGAAGGTACATAAGAGAAAAAAAATGTATTATGTATTTTTCAAAATTACAATAAAAATAATTTTTCTCTTCGCAAGTAAAATTTCCAAAATCGAAAACCTTCCCAAGAGCGCTCTGATATATCCCATAGACTAAGTAGATGCACGGGTAGGCCGGCTGTGCCCGAGTGATCGCGATCTTCAATTGTTTTGACGATCATGATGAATTAGATTTTAGCATATCTTGCTGTTAAGGTAGTTAATTATCGTAAAATACCATGTTATTATGACATATTATCGTCTTCCGATAATGATGACATTATAGATTTTATTAATAGAAGACCGAAAAAATTCAAAATTCGCCATAATTACTTTGAAGAATAGGATGATGTAGAATTTAAAATGAGATTTCGAATGGGCAAACAGTGATGTGGCTATCTAATGAAGTACAAGAAGATTTAACGTTCCCTTCAAATAAGTAAATATTTTATAGCATTTGATTTTAAAAAGTCTAATTATAATTAATGAATGTAAATTGTATATATTACATATTTAGAAATTGGCCGATACCACCGCTGGATCAGTTGTTGCTCACTTTAAGATTATACGCAACAGGATCCCATTACATGTCAGCAGCAGATTTTTCTAATATAAGCATAACTTCTGCACATCGCATTGCTTCTTATGTAACGGATGTGATTGCAAGATTAAAACCACGTTTCGTGAAGTTCCCTTCGACAAATGAGGAAATTCGTCAGTAACAAGAACAATTTTACAAAATCGCAAGGTTTCCAAAAGAGGTTTCTTCGGTAACAGCGGCGATATAGTTTTCTTGAAACTATAAATTGTATTTAATCCAATAATATACTAATGTTTGCTTCTCCACAGGTTGTAAAGATCTAAAATCAAGTCGACACTTAACAACAGAAGAATGGTAAATAATATAGGAATTTCAAGGACATTAATCAGAAGAATTGTACATAAAATTAATTTGGGTAATGATTGATTTATTAAAATTTTGAGAACCCATGGTTTATAATAGTAAATAAATATTGGAAAAGATATTCAATAAATAAAGCAGTAACGATTCGTGTAATTTTATCTTTAATTTCTTTCATTTAGTATTCCCAGCATGACATTTCTAGATTTTTCCCGCATAAAATTATCTTTTTCATTTCTAATTCTATTTTTAAAACATCGACTTCTAGTTTCTCACGGATCCATTTTTCGCATGTTGGGTGTAGGCTGAAGAGTAGGCAGAGACTAGAGCACAGACCACTAGAGTGTGCTATGGGTATAGTCGTTTCCACCGCCAATCACAGTCGCGGATACTTCTAAGTTGAGAGTTATTTCAAATGAGGCATAGGTTTAGCTAAACGAGCTCAGTGTTTGATCGGAGGAATGTACCTTGTGTTTAAATCACGATCAAATTTGATCGTCGGTCAGCTAAACTGTCACTTGAACCGTGTCAGACGAAACGGGCGTCAACGGTTTTACTACTGCCTATTGGAGTGTCAACCCCATCAACATATAGTGCTGGACAGCTTATTGTAGCCACAGAAAGTGTAACCGGGAATAGAAAGTGAAAGCGAGTCGTTAGGACCGTTCTGTCCTTCTCTTGGGCAGGAGCGGAATTAAGAATAAGAGAACCCCGCGCAGTAAAATGTATGTCTCATGATGAACTTTATTTATATATTTTGTAAGTTTAAGAATTGATTTAATCTTGTGTGAACATAAAATTTAAGGTTATATTTCTACTTTACTTGTGAAAGTTTATCGTATTGGGCTCAACATATACGTCTCGCGATAGCCCACACATAACACAATGAATCACCATTTTTTAATATTGAATTTTTATAAACTCAACTACCATAAAGCAATCACGACAATTGAAATTTGACCCATGGATTTGACTCACGGAGGCTTCTTTCTCCAAGATTCGACTGTAACAACGTATATTCTAGATGTGCGGAGTAATCTTTCACATGGTTCTTATTTTGCATATTACAGTCCTGAACCCCTTCCATCCAGAAAACTTTCGACCAATAGAAAAATGATAGAAAAGGACAGAACGGTCCTTACGACTTGCTCTCTGTTTCTATTCCCGGTTACACTTTCTGCGGCAACAGTGAGCAGTCCAGTACTATATGTCGATGGTCAACCCCCTGTTTTAACCTCACTGTTTCGTGCTGTTGTGCTGGGAATCTCCTGACCCTATTGAGAAACGCCAGGCCAAGTAGTTCACGCGTGTAGCAATGCGCTAAGTCAGAACTAAAGGCGGCCTGGCAACCAATATGTGGAAATCTAAAAATCGCACAATAATCACTTTTCGGAAGTCCAGCTTATAGCTGCACATCCGAAAATCGATAGTCTACAATTAAAATCCGAACGGATAAGGTGGTCTCGTGGAGTAGACTCGGTACAGGAAATAGGAGGACCGAACGGTGCCTATATTTTCGAAGTCGACGTACGTCGACCTACTGCACAACACTCTTGATTGTTTCAATAAACCTTCTCTGTTTTGTTGTATTCACGCAAGTTCCAACTCCTGAACCGGCAACGATCCCAAAAAATTATCTTAGCCCTAACCTCTCGAACGAACTCCTTCGTCACCGAGACGTTACGGCACAACAGTGCGCATCAACTCTCGCGCAAATCTGTGTTCCTTTTATTCATTTTCGAGAGTCCTTCCTTCCTTTCCTTATGGCTGACTCCTCCAATGGAGAGATGTGCCAGTGATTTTCGAGAGTTGGTACGAGTTGACACGAGTCGACACAAAAGTCATTTAAATAGAAAGCACCCGTTGTGTAGGCTAGTAAAATTGTGCACTTGCGCAGTGAGGAAAACTGGACGTTACGAAGTGAGAAAGAGATATATATCTGTTTCAACATGTTGGGGCCACTTAACTGCATCATTCCTCTTCCAGGTGTATAATTTCTATGAAGTTTTATGATATCTATAGTAATTTGCACCACTTAACCTTTAATAAGTGTCACTATTCTTTATCTCTCATAATCAAGGAATACAGGTGTTGCCTTTTGTTTTGTTATTTTTTTACCTTTCTTTTAAGATGAAGCAGTTTTCTTCCAATGTTTCTGGACGTTAAGCAATGTTTGAAACTTATGTGGTTTTATTAATGTGTACCCTACTTGCAGAATGACAATGATAGTAAATACAATAATTCTATTACCATCAATTGGCATTGTTTTTTCTTAGAGTTACATAGACATGTGAAAAATATATCTATATAAATCTAAATATATCTTTTTTCCTTTACAGTTTCATTGCTACATTGCTGAGTGATCACTGATCATTGAAAAAGAAGAAAGTACTATGTACCTATAAGTTTTCAAAAATTACCAGTTTGGCAAAGCAGTATATCAAAAAGACAAGGGTTATTTCAATACAGTAATACATCATTTAGTTAAAAATAAAAAATTGTAAAATGCTGCTTCTGTGAGCACAGGCTTAGTATTAAGTTCAATTTATGTGTCAATATTTCCTTATATGCGATTAATTAATAAAAAAATGAATGACACAACTCATTGTTTCTCATTCACACTATATTGCCTTAATATTATTATACGTTTAATATATATGTATATAGCTATATGGCTATGTATATGCAATTGCAATATACGCAGTACATTACCAAAAGATATTCTTACAATATTGCAGTAGATTGGATGGATTTATGGGAGATCATTTTGATGTTGCAGCAATATTTATGACCTGTTATATATATATATCTATGCAATATAGCTGAAGTATTTCATTCTTGCAAGGAAACATATTTGCAATATTTCTATGCCTGTTGGAATTATAGCGATTTTGTGTCATTAAAAGTCTACACAAATTGAGTAATTAGAAGGCATCCAGCACTTTAAGCTATAATTTACAGTTTTTTTCATGTAATATTAAAATGTTATCTGCCAATTTACAAACGAACCTACTTCAGATCTGGTGTGGAATTACCAAGATAGCTTCGTAAATCCGTTATCGTAGACCTAATTAATTTTGCCTTTATCTTTGGTTTACAGAGCCGTTGGTGTGCAATATATCTATGACAACCGCCAAACGAGTAATAGTAATCGCCACCTGAATATGACCAAAAAGAAAATGAATATCTAATTTAGCGTGACCGTAAGCTATATAAACAACAATCAAGTTATAGGAGCTGTTAATGAAAGTTAAATTGAACTAATATATTTATACCCAGTATTCAAAGTACCTTCTCTGCCTTTGATCCACAAAACATCAATTGGTGGTATTAAGTATTCCTTTTGTGGATCACCTATAATTTGCATTAAACTTTTCACCTTTTCTTCGTTTACATCTGCAGGAAATGGACGGATGAGGATGGCCATTGGAATCTCGTGAACTTTCATATTTCGACGTGAATGTATACTTGTAAAATCATCATTCATTGTGGAATCTGCGAATATTCAATTTACGTTTAAATATTATCAACACCTACCTTTATTTTTGAATATTAAAATATTACACGATTCATATTAATCCGGGAATAGGCGCGTGGGATGTTAGACATCCCATCTCAACCTTTTTAAATAGAGAACATAATCAGTAACCATTCGCCTGTTTAAAAAGTTATTAGCAAATCAAAATTAATAATCAGAACTGTAGTGAAGTTCCATTATTATTTTAGATAGGTATATGGCGTTATTCGGAAGTATTGCATCATCTTAAGTTAGCCAATCCAATTGACTTCTATAATAGAATCAGCGTCAGGTGATGCAATATTGTTGAGTAATAAGTTTATATAAGTTACAGATATGACAACGCCACTAAAAAAATAGCTTTACAAAAGGTTATAACTCACATAAATCTGTGTACTACAACAAAGTCGAGTGAATTCCGTGTTTATTTTCCTTTCCTTTTTAGTTTTGTCCTAAAATGAGGGACAGTATATGTAAACCTTAGTATCTCCGCAAGAATGTTGCAACGTCCCCTGCAATAACTAATAGTACGTAATAGTCATGCGGACGATCTCCAAGCGTCTACTGAGTCATCATATATTAATCCTCACCTTGACATTATCTTTCATTTTGAAAGGTGTGATCCGGCATATGATCCGCTGCTTTAAATGTTCTTATACTATATATTATATCTTATACTATATAATACGTTAGATGTAAGAAAATTTAAAACATTATTTAAAAAATGCCATTGTTGACCTCGCCTTGATTATGTATTATGCTTTGTTAATCGTATTCTAAGATCGATTAAAAGAATTTCTTTATTTTTTTTTGTTGAAGTCAAAGAGATAATTCCATAAATGAAACTGATGTTGGACGAGGACTATCTGTACATTATTTTGTTTACTTACATTACGCTTTGGTGAACCGGGCATTATATAAACATACAAGTATTAAACAATTAAAGTACATATAAGATAATTCTAGAGTATTAGTCTGTATTCTTTGGTTGTTTTCGAAGAAATGATGCGATATCAATGGCCAAATTTTTATAAATTATTGACAGCGGATTATCTGGTAAAGAAAGTACAACAGGTTTACCAGTATCGCAAGATTCTGTAATTTCCTGGTCTAAAGGAATCTTTTGCAGGACATCTATACCTGTAATTGAACAGCGTAATAGTGAGATAATCATATTATATCATATGATAATTCAACATGAATTATCCACAGACCGTATCGGAATTTCCGCCATTTTTCAGAAATTTAATATTTTATAAAAATAATTGCAAATAGTGAATGATTATTCATTTTGCTCCCTGTTTATCAAAGTTATTTCGTTTTTTATTTTCAGTGGGCAAGTGGGGTATAAATCCTTACTGAAATATGGATTTTTCTTGAGGTAAAGGTAATACTCTGGTAGGACAACAAATTTTTACAATCATACAAAAATTAAATATAAAAACTTACATTGGTAGTTTATTTCAGGTATATCGTTATTATCTAGTGAAAGGTGTTTGTTCCTGGTCTTTCCGTTCTGTTAGTTCGGTGATAATTACAACTACCTTCTCTCGTTAATTTATTAAAATTTTTGTTGGGTAGCTTAAGATCACTGGGGAGTTGAAACGGCCATCTTAAATTCACAATTACAAAAAATAGTAAAATACACGAAGTTGATTCATTATCTTTATCGTATTCGAGTACAAGCAGATTGATGTAAATTCCATAATGACTAACATGGTACTCTTGAAAAAAAGAATTGCTAAATAAAGCAATGGGATGCGTGCAACTGTTTGGCACGAGCATCTTTCGCCTTAAAAAATTATATGCGTCTCACTTTATTCAGAATTATTTATTCAGAAATTATTCCTTACGAAAGTGTCATTTCAGTAATTATGGAACTTACAAAAATGTGCGTACACTCGAGTTTAATAAAGATAATGCATCAATTCCGTGTAATTCATAATTTATGTAATTTTAAATTGAAAACGGTGGTTTGCACTTCACAATCACCTTAAACTATCCAACAAAAATTTTAATCAATTAACGAGAAGAAAATTTTACTTACCACCAAACTAAGAAAACGGGAGAACCAGGAACAAACACCTCTCACTAGATGATAGTTATATACCTGAAAATAATTCACAAATTTAAGTTTTTATAGTTCATTTTAATTTTTCTGTTTGAAAAAACATAGTTGTCTACGAGAGTATTATGTTGTATACAAATTTCTTAGGCAGAATAAATTATATCAAGCTGGACAAGGGCTATTTATTTATGAAAAAATGTACACCCCATCCTATTTAAAATACTCAGTACGGCCTTAATAACTTTGAAAACACGTACAAAATTTGGTTTCAGATATCTATTGTTACCCAATGAAGCATATCACTTTTTTATGAAGCATATTTGTTTATCTCTTAAATTGCCAGAAAAAAACAGCTGTTAACTTGTAATGTAGGCCACCATGTATGGAACCTAATCAGGATACATTTATAGAAAGTATTAATAGATTGTGTCATGTGCGGCAACCACTGCATGTTCTGAATTTAATATCACTATAAGAAATTTCTTATTAGTTACAACAATCGATAGATAAAAAACTTATTGGTTCGTCTCGGTTTTTACTTGTAATTCATGTAATTTTTGTCTACACTAGGACTTTGTATTAGATATCTGAAGAAATTACGGATATTCTGATACATTCTGCATAAAATTGACAAAATGTATAGTACTAAGTTCTTTTGTCAAGGATGTTAGGCCGCCTCCAAACAGTGGGACATGCTGAGTACATTTAGGACACTTAATACTCGACATGTTTTCCACAATTCCAGCAATCGGAATATTTACTTTCTTAAACATTATTGCTCCTCTCCTTGTGACTTCAAGAGCTACTTTTTGAGGTGTTGTTACTAAGAGTATTCCAGTGATTGGAAGATTTTGAGCAAGAGATAGATGAGTGTCTCCTGTCCCAGGTGGTGTATCTATAATAAGATAATCAAGAGGGCCCCAAGCCACTTGCCTGAGTAATTTGTCCAATGCACTCATTACCATGAGTCCTCTCCAAACTACAGGTGATTTCTGATCAATTAAAAATCCCATTGACATACTGTAAATAATAAAATTTGTAATAAAAGGTAAATTCAAAGAAAAATAACATAAAGACTTAAAAAGTAATTAGAATTAAAATGCAGTAAAACTTTTCGATAATGTAACCCTCAATATCGTAAAACTTACAATAACATAGATTTTGACTTCATAAAATTTCACAATAATGTAAGTATCTCCTTGCTTTTTCTATACTCTTCTTTCTTCTGTATATAATCACACTTACTCACTCACAGGAAAGGTCGCTAGACTAGTACAACTTCATGAAATGGAGAATTATGATATTGTGAGATTACTGGTTCTAAGAGTTACATTACTGAGAAGTTGTACTATACTAATTTACCATTTAACACCATAGTTTATGAGCGGTTCCATGAGATTTTCTTTATTAAGCATGGGTGTTTGATGCAGATTCATCATTAATGGAATTGATGGACCATATACATCAGCATCCAATAATCCTACTGACTTATTAGGCTCATTCAGTTTTAGTGCGACAGACAGGTTTATAGCAGTAGTTGTTTTACCAACCCCACCCTTACCTGACGCTACAATTAAAATCTGTTTTATTCCTCTTATAGATTTTTGTTTAGGAAGACCTCGTGCCATAATTTCCTTTTGTCTTTCATCCTCTGATCTTCGTCCAATAACTTTTGATGAAAACTATTAAGACCAACATCAATGCTTTAATAAATTTCCAAAAAATTAGATAACTGTTTGAGATTCGGAGTATATAAATTGAAACTATAGCCTAAATTTATAAATATTTTGTTTTGATCAGGAGCCTTTAAATCAATATTTATTTAAATATTATTTACATTCATATACCTCTAAAATTTTTGTAAAAAGAATATATCTTTTAAAAATCAGTAATAAACAATAATAACTCACATCTCTGATAATCTGTCGTTTGCTTGTTTGTAGCACAGAACACTGTGTTATTATACGTGACATTTTGTTCATAACCTACAAGAATCAAGCTTAATCATGAACTGAGTATACGAATGGTTTACATACAATTGTAATTACCGAGTATGTTAACAGAAATAAAACGGGATTAAAAGCTCAATTAATATTAAACGATGCTTTCGATACAATTGTCAAAATTTGATTAAAAAAAACGTAAACGGAAATCCTTTATTTTTCAAAACATCATTCACAAAGTATCTTCAAACCTGTCACGAGGGTGGCGCAGTTTTTCAGCCCAAAGCAGTAGTTCGTCATTCCGTGTGTTTTGTGCAGTTTTTATTCTAAATAAAAGTAAATATGTAACAGTGAGTTCTCATTTCCATCTATTTTATTATCTTGTAATCTCAATAATGTCCTATGACATTTATTTTAAATTTCAATGTTTCATAGAAATTTTATATACTTTTGTATATAAGAACAAAAATGTGTTCCCAGTATGTCTGGCTTAACCTATGCTAACGAACCATATTACGTATAACATGGTAACATGAAATTTCTGTATCCAATTTCTGTTTGAATATGTAAACTTTGCATTGACGAAATTTGAAAATGACCCATGGTTATTCTGTCTAATATTTGAAATTTGATATCATGTATAAAAAACAGGATGGAAGATTTATAGAGCTTCATAATAAATTAATGAACATATTATAACATATCTTCAATTTCTCATAATCTTATATTTTCCAATATATACATATAAAGATAACTTTAATATATAACTTATTTATGTCATGTAGTAATTGCAATAACCTTTACTTTCAAGTGACCAATATTTGCTAAATCAATCTATGTAACGTATATGGTATATGAGCATAACTATCGCGGAATATGGGCCTAAGAGCAGCTGTTCAAGCACTAAAGTGAGTAATCACGATTATTTTTATGTTTGATATTTTTAGAAATCATAATTTACATTCATTATTAAAAAAATTATGTTTGATTGAAAAATCTAACCCAAATGTTTTTTACCTTAGGAAAGCAGAATCATTAAAGAATAAGGTTCAACATTGCAAGGATCTCTTGAATGACAATGATGCATGGGTATGCCAGCAACAACTACAAAAAATTTACCAACAGGTTCTTATTTTGGATCTTGAATATGCTTTGGATCGAAAGGTTGAACAAGAATTATGGAATCTTGGATTTAAAAATTACATAGCAACACTTCAATCTCAAGCAAAGGATCGAAAAAATCCTAAACGCAACGAGTCTCAAGCTATGTTGAGTTGGTGTCTTGAGGCAGCTAGTGGTTTTTATTTAACTTTATTGCAAGAAATATGCACAGCATTTGATCTAGATTTGCCATTTCGAAGGTATAAGACAACATTTACCAGAAAGAAAAGTATTTTATAGTGTTCTAAATTGTCTAAATTCATTTTTATTTACCAGGAAAGGTTATGTCTATGGTTGTACATCGCCATGGAAAGCTGTTGAAAATTTATCGACACCCCATAAGTCTTCTTGCTTCTATGCATGTCAATACTGCCTTGTTCATTTGGGAGATATAGCCCGATACAGAAACCAAAACAAGCAAGCAGAATTGTTTTATAGACATGCAGTTTCTTTATCACCATCGAGCGGCCAACCCTACAATCAATTAGCTCTCCTAGAAGCTTCTCGGGGGGACAAATTGGGGACAGTTTTTCATTATGCACGATCTGTTGCTGTAAAGCATCCTTTTCCGGTTGCGACGGCTAATCTCGCCAAAACATTGTCTTCAGCTTTGAATGACAACTCATTCAGTGTCGATAGAAAAACGAAACTGACTTCACAAGAATACGTTGCAGTGTTTTTAAAATTCCATGGAATTCTTCATAATATTGGTGACTTAAACGTTGCCGTAACATATGTCAAATTATTGACAGAAACACTTACTGCTCTCGTCGCTACAGAGAGTTTTAATTCATGGAGGCTCATACAAATGTTGGCCATTAACTTATATGCCTTCCAACATGTGGCAGGAAGTACTATCGATGGTACAGACCTACTTACTATTGAGCAATTGAGTTCCGACGAAAGAATTGCCAGAGACTGTATGTTAGATCTCATTGCTGGAAGTTTATCTGCCCTGTTGTTACCCGTTTATACGATTAAAAGTACTGTTATAGATTACTTTGCTTTACCAGCAAGTAAGATAATCAATATATTTACACTAATCTCAGTTTATTTCTCATACCATTGTCATAGTTATATTCTTATGTGATTTTCAGTTAAACTGTGCCTTGACTGGATTAGCCTCAAGCCTATGGTCTTGAAAGAAACAGCATTTACGTCAAGACTTCAAATTTGGCCAAGTCTTTGTGTTCTTCTGAACGGTTTACAGTCTTGCATAGTCGACTTCAAAGATAATCAATGTAAATATTGCATTTATATACACTAATATACATTGTCACGATAGACTTATTATATTCAATTTTATTTTTCTTTACATACGTAATAGATGAGAAAGTCCCACTTCCAGAAGACCGAGATCTTCAAGGTTTTCTACCATTACAAAAAGCATTTGAATCGCTTCGGTTTACAAATACTGTTCTCGAGGGTGATACCATTGCATTAAATAAGCTTCGTGCGGTTCGTATACTACATCTTGGACACCAACTGGCCCAATACTCTGTTAATGGCACTACTTTGATAACAATTGTCACTCTTGGAGATATTGGAAAGGAACAACGATTTGCCTCGCTTATCGAAGGGGCAGAACCAAGTAATGAATTAATGAAAGAGTTGGAAGAGTTAAGTTTAAATAAAGAACGTGGATTGCTCGTAAGCACCAGTCCGGTGCCTTCCGAATCGACCAGTAGTAAAGGATCCTGGGAAGCTGACATACCTGAAAATAGTTGTACGTTATATTCATGTTCACATTATACTATCGATTACTTCAATTTAAGCCGAGTAATTACTCAGTTATTTTCAATATAATTTCAATAAATATAAGATAGAGTTCAGAAGTGAATTTGAAAATTATCATATAAACTATGAGAAATGAAAGTCACATGCCGAGGAGACACTAGTAAAGAGAGCCAGCCCGCCTTATTGGACTTTATGTCTGACGACAAGTGGGCACGAAAGATATGCTGAAACCAGCATAAAAATTCTGGATAGACACATAATACACGACACCTGACCCTCTTTACCAATATCTTCTCGATGCATAATGACCCAAGTATACTATTTTGTCGAACACTTTATAGACATTCTCAATATATTCTTAAAGTATAAAAAAAATAAGAGACTAGACTCCAAATTTAAATGCATTATGCAAGTACTACAAATGCTATAACCATTATAATGAAATATTAATCTCTAAGGGTAATTTAATAATTGCTCTAAGATTGCTTCTACAAATTTTACAATTGTACAATATATTGTAGAATGACAATAATAGTTCTTATTGGTTAAATTTTATCAATCTCGTTTTGTATTCTACTAGTCATCGGCCGTGATTTATTTTTGAAGAGGTTTGATCACTTATGCCCGTTTCCACCGACACGGTTTAAGCCTGGTTTAATTTTTTAAATATAGTTTTAAGATAGAGTTATCAGAATTTAAACTTTGATTAACGTCGGAGGAAACGAACATTAGACGCATTCAAATATAAAGAACCAAATTTGATGTATCTGTTAAAAAGTAGTTTAATTTTGGATGATGTAAAATTTTAATTAATTTATCGTGTGGTTCTTGAGATATTTAAAATCGAAAAGGGTCTACTTTCGGTATATAGATATACTACGTAAATATGAATACGTTTAAAGTTTGAGTATTTTTTGTTTCCGTAAGGTTAGGTAAATTTTCATGATGCATTTGTCCTAACTTCAACTTTTCTTATATGTTTACTAATTAATTTTTAAACTTTTTAAACTAAAGTATTGGAATATTCTTTACTAGCTATTTAACCTATCAATATTACTATTTCATGATTTTGATGATTGAACCATCTTAATGCTATGAATTTCAATGCGGTGCACGATGGTCAAAAAGGGGAGCTGTCGAAGTTAAATTAGTGTTAAACACTGACTATCGCCCTTTTTCTTCAACGCGATTCAATGCATAAACTCGGTTTAACTGAGCTATTAGCTAATTAGACACTTGTATTTTTAAGATAAATGGAGTTTATGCATTCAACCGCGTTGAAGAAAACGGGCCTATGTCCATCTTAATTTTATAAATCAAGAGAATTATGATTACGAAATATTGTTTTCTCACTGAAAAAATCCTAAACGATACATTTTATTTGCTATTTCAGTGGAAAAGAGAGTTGGAATTTTAAAGCCACAAGGTTCTTTAGAGCGTAGTCGCGATTCAGTCACATGTGAAGCAATGGAAGGCAGTAACCTGGAAGTGAATTCAACCTTGCAAATTCGTAAACCAAGACAAAATATTGCAATGCAGGCTATAATGCGTCGTGCGGAAACCGAGCAAAAGCAAGTTACATTCAAAAATGTTTCTCCTGTGATGATGGATGAGAACATAAATAAGCAAAAATTAGTTTCCACATCTCCGACGAGGACAGGAGTACGTGAAGGGCGTACAAAATTTCAGAGCGGTGGTTTATCCTCGCCTGTATTAAATGGTGCATCTACCATGAATCTCCCGATAGGCGTACAAGTTCGACCTTCCTTAATGCAAAACCAATCAAGTATTCTGCAAGCTCAAACAATACCAATGCACCAGAATCAGTCGATTTCAGTGAAGTTGCCCATTAATATACCTCAACCATCCCAAATAACTCAATTTGCTGTAACGACAACGGCGTCCGTATGTGAGCAACAGCGCCCTGAGGTAACGCAATTTGGACAACAGGGACAGCAAGGTTTAGTCCAGGCTTCATATCAGCCCCAGACATTTAATGTACAGAACCCACAGTTCAGCAAGAACTTTATGAATACTCGTGTACCGAGTATAACAGCACTATATTCCATGCCTGTCAGTAGTTCACAAAACGTGGGGCTGCAACCGAACATATTGCAGAATATGCAACAAAGTTTACAGCAGAATATTCAACAAAATCTTAATCCAGCAAAATCGTTGCATCAAAGAATGAATCCAAGCATTTCACAAAGCTCTGTACTACACCAGGGAATTAGATTGAGTCCATCTAGTCAAATTGTATCAGGGATATCACAAACTATTGGAACACAGCAGAAACCACCTGCGCCTTTGCAACAACCACAAAACGTCGAAACACACACACATCAGATGCAAGGTGTAATGCAAAATAACACTATCAGATCAAATGGTGTGACCGTGCAAAGTCAATTTCCAAATACTTCGGCACCACCAAATAGCGCAAACAACATGACGAACTTGCCCAATTATCAGAAGAGTTTCCAACAAGTTTCTACGAGCAATGTTCCCAATAGATCCATGAGTCCTACTAACATGTCGAACTTCCAATTTAATTTCAGCACGAATTTTGGACAAAATACTTATGGCCCTATCTATCAAAAGCAAATATCGCCAATTGCATATGACAAGAGTTCAAGCCAATTTAGTTTTCCAACGCAAGGTGGACCAAGCAAAGCTCAGCAGACTACAAGCAACACTTATCCCATGTTTCGTAATTATGAAACTAAAGATTTCAATCTGTGGAAGGATACTCAACCGCCACAACCACCTGTTGCGTGGTGGGGCTCGACGAGTGCAACACAAATGCATAGCAAGGATACAATTGGCGTGGACTCTTTTCAGAATTGGGGAACTTCATTAGCTCCTAGTAATATGAGTGGTAAAGTACCTTTAATACCTGGAAACAACTATCAACAAAATCCATTGCAGAACAGACAGTGTACAGGGAGTACCTTCGACCATACTAGATCTTTCGAAGTAAGCGCTGTATTTTAGTGTGTAACTTCAATAATGAACAAAGATATTGTCTATTCATCCTCAATGATTCTCATCCGTTTTATATTTCAGTTGGACCAAAAGCAGCCACAGTCTCCCGGAACAGGCAATACTTATTCGTTGTTTAGTGGTAACAGCTGGAGTTCAACTTCACAAGCATCAAACCCATCAAAGGAGGAACAAGCAAAGAGAAGACTTAGTCAACAATCATTGTGGTCAGGTCCTGGACCTTCTCCACTTGAGCGTCTTCTAGAACAACAGAAATCACTGCGCGAAGGGGGAACTTGAAACACAATACAATAGATGTTGACAAGACAACATGAGGAAAATTATGTTTGAGAATATGTGGACCCTTTGGCACCTACGCAAGCCCAGAGCGACAGTTAATCAGGCACTGAAAAAAATATTAATATACGCGCTCAGAAATACAGGAAAAGAAAGAGAAAAAGATCGTACAGTTACGTATTGTATCTTGCCGTTTTGGAATTTGAAAAAGAAAGCTAGAATTGATACATGAAAGTTCATTCGATGAATAGAAACAACGTATCATTGTTAACTGAGCTGATCTGTAGAAATACATTTTGTAAGGACTTCGGTAGTTTTAGCAAAATGTACGTACATTTGCACATATACATTATGTGCGTATAAAATTTGCTATACCCCTGCTGCGAAAATTTACTCGGAAGTACAAGTTGCGAATAATACTTCGAAATTTTCAAAGCGGTATAGAATTCATTTAAACATCGCATTAATAAACACACAAATAAGGGAAGAAAAATGTAGGAATAGATTTTGTCCAAAGTGCTATTACCCTTTAATGGTAAATTTAAAGAAGAAACCAAACGAGAGCAAACTTATAATACTACTGATGACATAAAGTAGAGGAGTTTCTACTAAAGCTAAATCAACAGGTTTACTAGTATTGTATAAAAGTTGAAGAGGTTAAGAGGGCAAATGACTTCATAAGGTGAGAACGAAATTTTTCATGAAACAAAAACTGTCGTTGAAATGCTTCAAATACGCGATTGTCATTCATGATTCATTACACTTTAGCAAGTTTGGTTTGTGTAGCAAAACTTTTTTACTCGTTCATGGTTGCTGCACTGTTTATTTTGTTGATCTTGTGTCGACCATTCTAGATGCTGATAACTGTATTTTACAAAATTGAAAAAATATGTAAGATAAAATTACAATCAAATAGATGTTTGAACTTTTATTTACTTCAAAACTGTGTTCATAACATAACTATGAAACAACTATGTGCTTTATGATTATTTTGAAGGAATTGTAAAGAACGGCTGAAAATCCTCTACTAAATGTCTTTGCTCATAACTGATTCGCTTTAAATTTTAACTCACAACCATACGATTTTGCTTGAATTTTGTTAAATCTAAATCAAATATTGTGCTCTACAAAATAACATGAATAACTAAATTTTTTAACAGAATGATTAAAACATTTGGAGACTGATTACATATTTCTCTAAAAGTATGGATTCCAGGCTTGTTTAATTGACTTATCCGTTCTTTGTCATACTTAATGAGCGATGGGTAGTGCAACAGTATAATTATTATATTTAGCATAGCGAAGTTACATGAGACATTGAATCACTTGCAACTATATTATGTTAATCATGTTGGAACCGCTTGACTTGTCGATTCAGTTTCATGAGTGCAATCCTTCGATGAGCCTTGAAAATCAAGAATTATTCATATTTTTTTTTTATTTAAACTACATTCACAAGCCTTACAACTACCTCAAAGAGATACTGATAAAAAGGATCAATCCCAATATATTATATGTCTGACATGACCATCATAGCACATCAGCTGATTTTGTGCTGCTTTCGACATATTTTCTGTGTCCACTGTGCCCTGTATCTATCAATCATCCCTGGTAAAAAAAAATTGTCATTTTAGAAGAAATAATTAAGAAACTAAAAATATAGTATAGTAGTGAAACAGTACATTTTAACTAAACCTCTTAATACTCATGTACTGAGAGTGTACTAATTGGACACAATGGCCAGAAGGCTAATCTGTTAGTATCATCGAAAAACGTCTCTCACAAATTAATCTTCCTTCAATAGTATGAATAAATTCTGATAAATAATTAACGCTTCCATTAATACATCTATTATTTTATTTTGTGAAGTAGAGTCAAAAAATCTATTGAATTATATAAAGATTTATTCTTAAAGTAAAAGAATAATCTACGAGTAAGCGTGAATTAAATCCGTAAGGATAACGCAATTTGGTATTAAAATTAATAAGCGTTTCACTGGATCTATGCTCTCTGGGAGTAGGGCATTAATTAAAACTTTGTCTAAAACTCTGGTCTACCAGCATACGCTATATTGCCGAGGGTACCGAGTAAAAAATAATGTTAAAATCCTGAGGAGATTATTGCGATCTCACTGAGAAACTTCAGTTAGCGTCGAACGAGAAAAGTGGAAGAAGTTCCGTCTCTAGAAAAGCTAGTCATGGGTTCAACGTCCGACGCAGGACGCCACAGCTCTAGTTCTGGGGCGGCCGTAGCCCAGTGGATAGGGATAGGATTCACGACCGAAAGGTTGGAGGTTCGCGCCTAGCATCCAGCGGCATTCACCAATGGGTTTTCATATGAAAATTAAAGTGAGTATTTATACGGATTTCGCCCAACACTGTTTGGATTCGGTGTATAAATTTTGCAGGTCCCCTCACGCTGAGTTGAATAAGGCCCGTCTTGTAGTTGCTAGTTCTTTTATCGGCTAAGGATAAGTGGGGGTGACTGAGCACGCGCGTTTTTTTAAAATTTCCTTTATTGTTAAATGATATCAACTTGTAACTATTAAATCACGCGTAGTGTTGCAATGTAAAAGATGGCGACGACCACCTTGCACGCACGTTGTTCTCTTGGAGACTAGAGCTGTGGCGTCCCGTTTGAGGATTGACTAGAGCGCCGCGGCTTCTGCGGCGGCCGCCGAGCGAGACAGCTGCAGGAACGATGCGAACAGCCACATCCACTCCCCTCCCAGTGACCTCGTCAATGCTGAAGATGTAGATGAGGGAAACGAGACTTTCTTTCCATATGTTTTCTTCGATGGGTCTATGAATGACCCCCATTGATGCGATTGTATCATTGGCTCCTCGTCGTCGGGAACCGAGTCGTCTTTCTTGGTATAGGCCGGTTTTAACCGTTCGATCGATGTGGTTTTTTCCACGCCATTAACGTCGATGACGAATCGCCTATCATCGAGTTTTTTAATGATTTTGTAGGGTCCATCGAATGGCGGTTCAAGTGGAGGTTTCACCGCGTCGTTTCGTAAGTAGACGTGTGTGCTGTTGTAAAGGTCTTTTAACACGAGCGTTCGAGCTTTGTTGTGGTGTGCGGTCGGTGTCGGTCTCAGCCCCCTCATGTGCTCTCGAAATTTTTCAACAAATACTTCGGGATCTGCCGGCATTTCGATGTTGATGAAGAATTCTCCGGGAACTCTGATGATTGTTCCATACAGCATCTCGGCACACGAAGCCCCCAAATCTTCCTTGACGCAGGTCCGGAGTCCGAGAAGTACAGTGGGTAGAAGTTCGAGCCACGGAACTTGCCTGTTGCACATCAATACCGATTTCAGGGTGCGATGCCAGCGTTCAATCAATCCATTCGATGCTGGATGGTATGACGTAGTGTGTATTTTCTTAGCGCCAACCAAATGGGTCAACGACGTGAACAACGCAGACTCAAATTGACTGCCTTGGTCCGTCGTTATCGTGAGTGGCGTGCCGAATCGGGAGATTCAGTGAGTGAAAAACATGGATGCTACCGTGTCCACTGTAATATTTTGCATGGGAACAGCTTGCGGCCAGCGCGAGAACCGGTCCATCATAGTTAAACAGTATCTGTAACCGTTGACCACCGGGAGTTCGATGATGTCCAAGTGCACATGGCTGAAACGATTGTCTGGCACCTCGATGTGGTTTAGCTCCAGTCAATTGTGTCGGTGAACCTTTGATCTCTGACATGGTTCACACGTCCGCGACCATTCGAGAGCGTCCTTTTTAATGCCTGGCCACACGTACTTTTGACGGAGCATGTGGCACGTGCTCCGTCCACTGGGATGGGATAGAGCGTGTACCGAGTCCAAAGCTTTACGGCGTAGGCTCACGAGAATGTATGGTCGCACTACCCCCTCGGCAATGCTGTAGCTCCAGAGATGACCCGTCCTCGATGAGGTGTCGCAGTTCGTCGTCGGCTTCCTGCGCGTCTGCGATTTCCCTCGCCGATAAGACCTTTGGCATGTTGATTTGGTTGATATCTTGGATCCGTGACAATGCATCAGCTACCACATTCTCGTCTTCTTTGAGGTAGACGATCTCGGTGTTGAATTGACCAGTATAATCCGTTTGGCGTAATTGTCTGTCCGATGCCTTTTCCGATTTTCTATGAAACGCGTAGACTAAAGGTTTGTGGTCCGTGCGGATGACGAAGCTTCGGCCGTCGAGTATATGGTGGAAGAACTTCGTAGCGGAGAACACAGCCAGCAGTTCCCTGTCGTGGGTACTGTACTTTCGTTCAGTTGTTGATAGTTTTCGGGAAAAGAATCCCACGGGTCTCCAGACGCCATCTAATTGTTCAAGAGAAGCTCCTATTGCGAAGTCGGAAGCATCCGTCGTTAGTCGAAGCGGCGCATTTGGAGAAAGGGAAGCCGTTAACGCAGCGTCGGCGATACTTTGTTTGTATTTGTTCCACGCTTCCTCAGTCTCTGGTGTCCAGGGTACCGGTCGCTTGTCATTCTTTTTTGAATCCTTCAGAAACTCGTTTAGCGGAGCCTGGATAGCCGCCGCTCCCGGTACACACCGCCGGTAATAATTTACAAGCCCTAGAAATCGGCGCAGCTCGACGATCGTTCCCGGACGAGGGTATTGTAGGATGGCCTCGACGCGGTTGACCGGAGGTTTGTATCCATGTTGGTTGATTGTGTAGCCGAGAGAGGTAAGCTCTTTTTTCCCCAGCACGCACTTGTCCACGTTGATGACTAGATTGTTTTCTTTGAGTCGATTTAGAACTGTTTCAGATGCTCCATATGTTCAGCAGGTGATTCCGAGGCGACCAGGATGTCGTCAATGTATACGATGACGAAGTCGAGATCCCTGAAGATTGAGTCCATGAACCTTCGGAATGTCTGCGACGCGTTGCGGAGTCCGAATGGCATCACCAGGTCCTCGAACTGGCCCAGTGGTGTTGTGATGGCAGTTTTTTGTACGTCGTCCGGCGCCAGAGGAATCTGGTGGTACGCACGGGTCAAGTCAAGCGTCGAAAAGATCTTTTTTTTGAATAGTCGTTGAAACAAGTCGTGGCTGTGCCCTGTCGGATACCGGTCCGGTACCGTTTTTGCATTTAGGGCCCGAAAATCTCCACAGCATCGCCAGTCTCCTGATGGTTTTTTAGCGATATGGATTGGGCTAGCCCACGGACTCTTCGAAGGTCTGATCATCCCTTTCTCGAACAGGTATTGTAGCTCTTTGCGCAGCACTTCCAGCTTTTCTCCTACAAGCCTTCGAGGTTTCTGAGGGATTGGCGGTCCGGTGGTTTCTATATGATGTTCCACAGTGGCGGAAGTTCCCGGCCCAGTACCTGCGAAAGGTATTGTGACTTTAATATATTTGTTCAACAACTCTGCGTACTCACTGTGCTCGCTGATTGTTGATATGCTGTGCACAGGTGTTGTAAAGAGTGTGCCCTTCGTCGTTAGTCCGGTGAGAGAATCGATTAGTTGTCGATTCTGGATGTCGATAAGCAGACCAAATTTTCCCAGGAAATCGGCTCCTATGATATGGCTTTGTACCTCGGCAACGATGAAGAGCCAGCGAAATGGACGGCGCAATCGTAGGTCCAGTTGGAGTAGCCTTGTTCCGTAGGTCGCGATCTCCGTGGAATTCGTGGCGTGTAATTTTAGTGCGGAAGGTTTTCGCTGTCCTGCAGCCAAACGGGCTGGTAGGACTGTCACTACAGAGCCAGAATCGATCAAAAATGTCACATTGTGCTTGTCGTTTATGTGAAGACGTATTTCCTTAGAGGTATTCTCATCACCATTCCCAACCGTCTCCACATGGGTTGGTGAAGTTAGTTTTCCGATTTCGGGTTGTTTTCGAACTTGCATGGTTGCAGACAGTGTATGGCATCTGCACCGTACCTTCCATGGTAGTAGCAGATCCCATCGTGATACTGATTTTGATTAATGCGGGACCTGGATCGGCTCCTTTGCTGGTTGTAACCGGTGCCATCGTTGTCACCGTTGTTGTTGATGTCATTGCGCGGTTTTCCAACATGCAAGTTATCCATCTTGGTGACGAGTTTGTCCATAACGGTTAGCATCCTCTCGATTGATTTCTCCACCAGCGTGAGACGTCCTGCGATTGAGCTGTCGGAAGAGCTTGTCGTTGCTCGAGGTGGTTGGCGATCCACTGCCATAACGAAGGAGTTACCACACGACTCGAGGAGCCTGTCTGCGGTGTCGGCCAATTTTGTAAGTGTGAGATCTGAACTACCTCCCAGAAAAGCGCGAATCCCTGACGGCATACACTGAATGAACCTGGACCGTAGGAAGTCGTCGTGTACAACCTCACCCCCGAATTCTCGCATTTCTCTCAACAGTTGCGAGGGCCTTTTGTCAGCCAGTTGCAGCTCGTTCAAAAATGTTTGAATTTGACGTTCACGTGAGTCGGTGAGACGGTCGACGAGCGTGGTCTTCAGGGCCTCGTATATTCCAGCGGCCGGCGGTCTGCGGATGATATCGGAGACGTGTCGAATCGAGTCGGCGTTAAGAGATTCGACGACGAGGTTATATTTTTTATCGTCGCTGCGAATTCGACGGTTTTCGAACGTAGATTCGATCTGCGCGAACCACAAGTCGGGTATGTTTCTCCAAAATGGCGGTAACTTTATGGGATGAACATCTTCGACACGTGGTTGACGCTGGTCCGAAGGCACGATTTGACCTCTGTTTTGTCCGTGTATATCATCGCCGTTGGCTGCTTCAGGCTCACCCTCGCCATCTATGTCCAACCGGCCTTGTCTTGACTGATCCGGCGTACGTGGCGTCGTCATTGTTCCGCGATATGCCTGAACGTGCTAGCAACACTATGTCCCTTTGTTTTCACCGCACACGTCTTATCCACACCGATCACGTCGGGTTCACCAAAATGTAATCGCTAGTTCTTTTATCGGCTAAGGATAAGTGGGGGTGACTGAGCACGCGCGTTTTTTCAAAATTTCCTTTATTGTTAAATGATATCAACTTGTAACTATTAAATCACGCGTAGTGTTGCAATGTAAAAGATGGCGACGACCACCTTGCACGCACGTTGTTCTCTTGGAGACTAGAGCTGAGGCGTCCCGTTCGAGGATTGACTAGAGTGCCGCGGCTTCTTCGGCGGCCGCCGAGCGATACAGCTGCAGGAACGGTGCGAACCGCCACAGTCTCGCAAGGTACATCGCCATCTATTGTTGAACTTCCAACCTTGATTATTAGGACCAATTACTAGCACATGTCCCCCATTGGGGATACAGCCATAAGGAAAGTAAGGGAAGGAAGGGAAGCTCTAGTCCTAGGAGAACAACGTTCGCGCTCAGTGGTCTTCGCTATCTTTGCATTTAAATACTACGCGCAATTTATAACGTTCCAAATTTATATCGTTTTATAATAAAGAAAATCTTAAAAAAAGCGTGCGTACTCAGTCACCCCCACTTATCCATATCCGATTAAAGAACTAGCAACGACAAGACGGGCCTTATTTAACTGAGCGTGAGGACCTACAAAGTTTATACACCGAATCCGAACAGTGTTGGGCGAAATCCGTATAAATACTCACTTAAGTTTTCATATGAAAACCATCGACATATAGCATGAATTACACACAAGCATAGGAAAAATGATCGGTTGATAGAAAAAGATGGCGACTGGTGGCGGCTAAGCCCTGTCTCTTTCTAATCAGTAGCCGTAGGACGAGAGTATAGAAAACGTAGGCAATGGGAGCATTAGAAAAGGAGAGTTACTGGCCGCCACCTCAGTCCCTCTTTATCTATTCGAGCGGACATTTTTTCAAGGAGTTTGAAGTAGGGATCGCGTAATCCATGCTATATGTCGATGATGAAAACCAATTAGTGAATGCCGCTGGAAGCTGGGCGCGAATCCCGAACCTTTAGGTCGTAAATCCGCTACCATAACCACTGGTAGAGTCCCTCTAGCAGAGATGAGTAGGGAGATTGCCAATGAGCCTGTTTTTGGTGGTCTCAATTTTTCTCTGGTTTCGGCGCGCCACCTTAGCGGAGGGCCCTCGAAGCAGTGCCACGTTTTTGATTGGTCGTGTATAAGTAGATACACACCACTCCTGGCCGTCACAACAAACCCCCACCACTGTCTCGATGAGTCATAGAGCGCATCGCGCTGTGTCCCCCCGCACTGCACTATGGCGCCACCCCCTCGTCAATGTGACCAACTCTCCCCTGCCCCTGCGACACTGCCACGGATCCCCCCACCACGCGGTCCTAAGGCCCGAAACCCCGTGTAGCAGAGTTGTATGTCCCCCAGGGGGCGTATCACGGTCGGTAATTATGCAGTGACCGCCGGTCGGTAATTTTTAATTATCCTAAGGAGGTAGGTGTGAGCGGAGCAAGGTTAATGGGTAAGCTCCCGGCTCCCCGATTCTGCTATGTCATCGTACCACCTCTGCGTACAATACGCGAACCGTGAGAACGTTCTGCGGTTCTGAAAATCCTTTCATGTCATTGAGATGATATGGGAAGACAGGCGTAGAGGAGAACGAAAAGAAGAAAAAAAACATATTTTGAATAAATGTATTATATATTGTAAGAAAAGATCAATTGTACAATTTTTTATTAAGAGGGCTGTGTGGGATCAAGGAAAATGGGTTTTAAAAACTTATTATAAAAAATGAAAAAATAAATTACAAAATAAAAATTAAAAATTTAATAAAAACAATTAAAAAATACATTAAAAATTGAAATTTAAAAAATAAAAAAAGTTGTCTCGGGGCCCTGAAAAAAAAAAGATAATAACCATGTATGACATATATGGTATAAAACAGAATAGTTTAATACACACCAATTTGAAATCTGTCGAAATTTCGACAGGAATTGTCACTCCTCGCAGGACTTGTAGTCCGAGTCCCTGCAAAAAAAATAGATGATTATATTATTTACGTCTGACACACATACGCGTATGTAAGTAGTTATAAGCAACTTCTGGCCGTCACAACAAACCCCCACCACTGTCCCCGATGAGTCATAGAGCGCATCGCGCTGTGTCCCTCCGTACCGCACTATGGCGTCACCCCCTCGCCTATGTGGTCGGCTCTCCCCACCGCCAACCTATGTTGTTGCTCCCCCACAATGCGGACCTGGTCCTAAGGCCCGAAACTCAGTAGCAGCGGCGTTGCGTGCCTCCAGGGGCCTATCACGGTCGGTAATTATGCTGTGACCGCCGGTCGGTAATTTTTAATTATCCTAAGGAGGTAACATGGTGACGTAAAATACGGTTCTTTCCTGTAAGAAATACCTTATATTATACAAGTATCGTATAGGGAGGTTACATTAATTAGGTCATAAATATTATTATACCAATTCTATTTTTTTTATATATCTATATACCTATATACCTATATACACATTATACCTAATATATCATTTTTTTTTATCATTATACTTATTATATTTATATACATATATCTATATACATATTATATTTATGTACGCATTATACTT